GTGGACAAACGTTTCTGCTCTCTGCTAATAAGCGTCTTCTGAAGGATTTGAGTGTTTACTGAGTATTTGAGTTGGTGAATATGTGATCATCTCATAGTCCTTGACTTAGTCAGATCTGAAGATCTCTTATTTGCTTCTTCACCCCTAAACCAGTGGCAGGACTCTCACTGTCACTTGGTGTTGGAATTTCTGAATCTGTGTTTCTCGGAAATACTTCTGTCCTTTATGCTTTGTCATGATGCCATTCCTGTTAACACATTTTTTTTCCTGGAATGATTTTAGTTGTATGTCCCAGTTCCCTCTCTTCCTTGTTAGGTATTCAGTCTTTCCTTTCTTTCCTCCTCAGTTAGAATTCATGTGCCCTCAGTTCCCTCTTGTGCAGTCCTTCCACTCCTGCCACTAAGACTCCAGCCCCATGCTAGTCTGTCGTACAGTGCTTGTGTGAAACTAAACACCACTTGTAATGTACTGGAGAGGACAAAGTGATAGTCCCCAACTCTAAAGTTAGGCTTCTTGTTGTCTCCTCCATTTTTTTCAGGGACTTTCCAAAAATAACAACTCTCCTGCATCACTCAGAAAAAAAAAGATTTCATCTGAAATAAAAACCTTTAATTCTTTCTCACTCACAAGTTCCACAATTATCTTCATTATTTGTTTTCCAACTCACAGAGGAGGAATCCATGGATAGGGCTGGTGATGGAGATCCACTGTCTCATGTTTCTCTTGTTCTTCAATTTGTTTTATCAATATCCATCTGTCCTTATTATTCATTCTGTAAATTTCCACTATCATTTCTCATCAGATATGAGCAAGCTTACTTCTCTTTCAGCCATCATCTCTCTCTCTATCCTCTCTCTCTCTCTCTCTCTCTCTCTCTTACACACACACACACACACACACACACACACACACACACACACACACACACACACACACAATGCTCTCACATTGTCTAACATGTTGCTGTTGTTTTTCTTACGTATTGTACTTGGAGCCAAGCTCTTAAAATACTCAATGCCTTTACTTTCACAGTTTCCATTCAACCTGCTTTAGTTTGGTCTGTGCCCCAACCACCCTGGGATAATTGCTCACACTAGAACTTCTTCACAAGCTATGAACAATGGAATCTCAGCAGAAGCATCCTTACTATCAGCATTTTCAGTGGATCCATAGACAGGTTTTAGGGGACTCACAATAAATTACAATGAAGAAAATGAAGAGTTTTAAGTGTTTGTGACCTCTTTCCCTGGAAAGAGAGAGAGAGACTATAATTTTAGCTTGTTTCTCAAAATAATCTTTGACTCAAAAGGGTTTAAGAGCTCCCATTTGTGTTGGATTCTTGTCTCCCGAAAGATGAGTTACAGTTTCCTCAGCAAGTTATGTGAGTCCTCACTTGGACAAACCCTACTTGTGTCTGCAAATTCATCTTCTTGGCTATTCTCCTGAGAGTTTATAATCTATAAGCCCCAAACTGCTTTCACTTTTTCAAAGATATTTTGTTGTGAACCCTCAGCCACTGTGTTGTTCTCTCTGGCAGCATCCTACCTCCTCCTTTGCCATGTCACTTATTTCTCATTTTTCATTCTGGTTTCTCCCCTTTTCAAAGGCTTTCTTCTGGAAGTCTCAGCATCTGTGTAAACCCTTACCACAGCTCTACTTCATTGTGTCCCGGCTCTTTATTTATAAGTCTGTGTTTTAGTTCTGGAAAAGATTTTGTCCCTAAAACCTACCTTAACTGAGTTTGGGTTAACTGAGTTTGGTACATTACAGGCTCTAAGAGGATTTCTAAGATATTTTTCAGTGATTATTTCTGTTTGGAAGTAAAGTAAGATGTGATCCAGATGACAGATAAGAATTCTCTACAGACTACTTATTCATAAGGATATATCCTTTGGGAAATCCTAAATATCATCCTGTCTGTATCTTGAGTTAAGCATTTCTTTGCCTGCCCCACCTAGATGCATGGATGAGATGGAGGCTACTGTGTAAGGGCTTGTGTACTCCAGGGACTAGGGAAGAAGGACATGGGTATGTAACCTAGGAACATAGCCATGTGATGATAGATTCATC